AGTCAGCAGTCCATTGCTTATCCTACTGCACCACACCACAAGTCTGAATTCCATGTGCTGGCTTTAAGGGGAGACTCTCATTGTCTGCTTTAGGGGACGGTTCCTTTCTCTTTTCAGCTCTGTTCCTCGGTCCCTCTGTGAGCCAGCCACCTAAAGCCTGGCATCTCCCTTCCCCGTCAGTACTTCCTTGCTTCTGGGCTTTCTTCTTCTCTGGTGTCTCAGAAGTGTTTGGTTGAGACACACCCATCACTGATAAGGGCTCATGAATACCACAGAGCACACCCTATTCCCAGATGGGGTCACATCCACAAGCAGGCAGTGGTTATTACTGGGCACCCTAAATTGATTCCATCTCATAGCGACCCTTCAGGATAGAGTCAAACTGCCCAATGCGTTTCTGAGGCTGTGACCTTTCTTGACAGTCCCGGAAACCCTATATGGGATCCCTTGACGTCACAATCACCTGACCGTAGTGGGCTGGAGGGTCGGGTAGCTTTACAAGAGTAAATTGCTAATTCTTTCTTCTGAAGAGCAGCTGGTGGTTTCCAGAGCACTTAACCACTGTGCCACCGAGGCCCCACCTGCATAAAAACACAGACAAACTAAACCCATGGCCATTGAGTTGATTTTGACTCAGAGCAACTGTGTAGACAGAACGCACCTGCTACCTAGGGGTTCCAAGGCTGTAAATCTTTACGGAAGCAGACAATATCATCTTCTCCCCAAGCAGCAGTTGGTGGGTTCGAACTGCCAACTTTGCAGTTAGCAGCCCAATGCTTAACAGAAGTCCAGTGCTTACCCACTGCACCACCAGGGCTCCTAGCTGTTGTTACTACATGCCATCAAGTTGGTTCCAATTCATAGTGACCCTGACTAGGGTTTCCAAGGAGCAACTGGTGGGTTTGAATTGACGACCTTGTGGTTAGTGGTCCAGTGCTTATCCTACAACGCCACACCAGGACTCCAATCCACTTGTGTAGGGTTTAGGATATTCAACATGCGTTTGCTTAGTGGTGGTGGTGGTGGTATGCTATGAATTCGGTTCTAACTCATAGCGACCCTACACAGGGTTTCCAAGGCTATAAATCTTTATGGAAGCAGAAAGCCTCATCTTTCTCCCATGGAGCAGCTGGTAGTTTCGAACTGCTGACCTTGAGATTAGCAGCCCAATTTGTAACCACTATGCTACCAAAGCACCTTACAACATGCATTTGGGGGCACACAATTAGATCTATAATAGGGGAAGCTGGGGAGCATGGGGGGAGCTGGGCATACATCAGCCTGGACCAGAGTGAGGCTGATAGGGAGGAGTGGAGACTTAGCCCCCAAAGGTACAGGGGACAGGCTGGGCAGGCCTGGGGGACAGGAAGTGGCTGGGCTGGCTCAGGGAATGCTCCATGGGGACACTTTTGAGTCTGAGGAGCCTGAATGGGGTCCAGGAGTGGTCATCAAAAGAGAAGCTAGGTCAGGCTCCCCCCAGCCTCCCATGAGGCTCCTCCATATTCACAGTACCCCCCCACCCGTCCCAGAGTCACCCCCAGAGGATTTGGAGGCACCAGGAGGGGTCTATCCCTCACATTAACCCTGGGACGTAGGGCTGCATTATGGGTTGAAAATCACCCACACTGTTGATGCAAATCCTCAGCCTATACTGTGTGTGGATGGAAGTCCTGGTGTGGTGCTGTAGATAAGTACTGGACTGCAAGGCTGGTTTGAACCACAAGGTCAGTGGTTCCAACTCGTTAGTCGCTCCTCCAAAACCCTATTCAGGGTTACTGTGAGTCAGAACCAGCTCAATGGCATGTTTAACAACAACAACAACAACAACAAACAGTGAGACTAGTGAGCCCTAGCGTGCACTGTAAGGTAAGCACTGTGCCACAAGACCAGCAGTTTAAAGCCACCAGCCTTGGAAACCCTATTCAAGGTCACAGTTTGAGGGCTAAATATGCCTGACTCAAGACTTGGCATTTTCAATAGTCTCAGATGTGCGTGAAAGTTGGACAATGAACAGGGAAGATCGTAAAAGAATTGACGCATTTGAATTGTGGTGTTGGAGAAGAATATTAAAGGTACCAGGAACTGCTTGCCAGAAGGAAAAACAGATCTGTGTTAGAAGAGGAACATCCAGAATGCTCCTTAGAAATCAGGATGGCCAGACTTTGTCTCTCATACTTTGGAGGAGTTATCAGGAAGGACCAGTCCCTGGAAAAAGACATCATGTTTGGTAAAGTGGAGGGTCAGTAAAGAAGAGGAGACCCCAATGAGATGGATTGACACAGTGGCAGCAGTAAAGGGCTCAAGGGTGACAATTGTACAGATGGGCAGTGTTTCATTCTGTTGTGCGTAGGATCACTTATGAGTCGGAACTGACTCAATGACACGTAACAACAACAACAAAGAGAGAGGGAGAGAGAGAAGGTCCAGTCATGCAATTCATTTATACTCAAATACTAACCTAAATAAGGAGCTCTGGTAGCGTAGTGGTTATGAATTGGGCTGTGAACCGCAAGGTCAGCTGTTCAAAACTAACAGCTGCTCCATGGGAGAAAGATGAGGCTTTCTGCTCCCATAAAGATTTACAGCCTCGGAAACCCTGTTCAGGGTCACTATGGGTTGCAAACGACTTGACGGCACTTAACAACAACAACAACAACACAAACCTAAATGTTGGCAGTTCGAACCCACCTAGCAACACCTGGCAATCTGCTTCTGTAAAGGTTACAGGCAAGAAAACCCTCTGTAGTTGTGTTCCTCTATAACACAGGGTCACTATGAATCAAAGTTGCCTTTACAGCAACAGATTATATATACAAAGAGAGATTTCAAAGACTTAGCCCACACAATTTCAGAGTGGTCTTGTTGTTAGATACCATCAAATCAGTACCAACTCCTAGCGACCCCATGCACAACAGAACGAAACACGGCCCCCTCCTGGGCCAACCTCACAATTGTTGCCACACTTGAGCCCATTGATACTGTCACTTGGCCAATCCATCTCGCTGGGGGTCTTCCTCTTTGTCTCTGACCCTCCACCTTACCAAACATGATATATCCTTCGAGTGATGGCACGTCCAAAATCTATAGGTCAGTCTTGCTTCTCAAATTCCACACATTAGGCAACTGGAATTGTGAAAAATGAGAACGTTCTGTCAAAATGGCTACTTTTAGTCTGAAAGCAGAACACACTCAGGGAAACACCTTTTTGCTCTTCAGGCCTTCAACTGATTGGACAAGGTCCATCCACGTTATGGAGGGATACCTGCTTTACTTAAAGCCAACTGATTTGGCCCCATGGAACTACTCCCTAGGAGTCCCTGGGTGGTCTCAACAATTAAGCACTAGGCTACTAACTGGAAGATCGGAGGTTCGAATTCAGCCAGAAGCTTCTCAGAAAAAAGGCGTGGCAATCTACTTCCAGAACATCAGCCACTGAAAACCTTACAGAGCACACTTCTACTCTGACACACATGGAGTCGCCATGGGTCAGCGATGACTGAACAGTAACTGGTTTGGTTTGGTTTTTGAAACATAACAGCAACTAGACTAGAATTTGGCCAAACAGCCAGGCACCATGGCCCAGCCAAGTTGATATATAAAGTGAACCATCACAGGGGGATTCCTGGACAAGGTGTAGGCTGCTACACTTCCCCAGTCAGCCTGGAGGGATGTACTGACCAAGGGCAGAGTGGGCCTAGGAGAGCCAGTGGGCTTAAAGAACAGACCGACTCAGTAGGGCTCAAGCAGGGAACAATCCTGGCAGGCTTCCTGGAGGAAGGTTCAGAGTCTCCTCTGTGGAGCCTAAGGAAAGTGTTGACTATTGCCTGATTAAAAAAAAAAAAAAAAAAAAAAACAAGTAAGAAGAGACCAAAATGCCACCCCTGGTAACAGTTGCCATTGACTGGTCCAACTGGCTCATTTTCTCTGGCTGTTAAATGACCGCCATCCAGGTGGCTAAACATAACAGGAATTCATTGTCTCACAGTTCTGGAGGCTGGGGGTCCGAAATTAGGGTATTGTCATGGTCAGGCAACCTCTGAAGGCTCTGAGATCCTTCCTTGTCTCTTCCAGCTTCTGGGTCCCAGGCACTCCTTGGCTTGTGGCCACATCACCCGATCTCTGCTTCTGTCTTCTCTCTGTGTCGCTATCTCTGTGTCTTTCCTTCTTTTTATAAGGACACCAGTCATACTGGATTAAAGCTCACCCTCCTCCAACAGGAGTGTCTGGGTGGTGCAAACAGCTAAGTACTCAACTACTGAGCAAAAGGTTGGTGGTTCAAACCCAGCCAAAGGCACCTCAGAAGAAAGGCATGGTAATCTACTTCTGAAAGCTCAGCCTTTGTAAGCTCACAGTTCTACTCCGATAAACAGATTTGATTTGATGGTAACTTGTTTGTTTTGTTTTGTTTTTCTACCCCAATAGGATCTCATGTGTACTTAACTCATTACATCTTCAAAGACCCTCTTTCCAAATAGCAGTGCCTGGGTGGTACAAAAGTTAAGCACTTGGCTGCTAACCAAAAGGTTAGTGGTTAGAATATACCCAGAGGCACCTTGGAAGAAAGGGCTGGCAATCGACTTCTGAAGGGCCACAACCTTAAAAGCGCTATGGATCACACATGGATATCACCATGAGTTGGCATTGACTTAACAACATCTAAAAACAACAATTAATTGTTAAATGCCATAAAGTCTGTTTCAACTCAGCAATGCTGTGTAGGGTTTCCAAGGAGCAGATGGTGAGCTTGAACCTCCAACCTTGAGGTTCAAACCAATCTTGCAGTCCAGTGCATGAACCCATAGTGCCATACCAGGACTCCAAAAACAACAATAAAACATAAAAATTAAACTAGGGAAAGAAATGAGATGGGAAAGAGGGAGCCTGGGAGGGTGTTGGAGCTGGTGAGAAGCAGGCTGAAGATAGGAAGACTGGGCTGGGAGTTTTAGTCAAGCTGAGGAGTAGAGTCACAGACAGGAGGACTCAGAGGGACAGAAAGGGTCATGGTCATGAAAGAGGAGGCAGAGAGGGAGGGAGTTGGGAGGTAAGTACATCAGATGCCAAGAGAAGTCAGCACCACAGCTGGTCCCAGGTTGGGGAAGGGAGTTGAGAAGTCAGGGACAGAGAGTTCAGAGAGAACTCAGGAGGGTCAGCTTGTCCAGACAGCACTCCCTGCCCCTTGTCTTCCCTCCTCTCCACCACCCCCCTGCAAAAAAAAAAAAAAAAAAACTGTCAATGATTTGATTACAAGTCTTAGCAACTCTACAATGCTGTGAAGAGCTGCCCATGGGGTTTCTGAGGCTGTAATCTTTAGGGAAGCAGATGGTCACATCTTTCTCTGTGGGTTCAAAGTGCTGACTTTTCAGTTAAAAGCCCATCACTTAACCACTGCACCACCAGCGTTCCTTTCCCCTCCCCTTTCGTTTATGTTGTTAAATGCCGTCAGTCGGTTCAAACTCACAGCAACCTTGTCTAGGGTTTCCACCAACCTTCTGGTTTAACTCAACCTTGGGGTCCAGTGCTTATCCTACAGAGCCATGCCAAGACTCCGCCCCTCTCCTAGCCCACCTGAAACCCACCCAGACCCCACCCAACCAGGCCTGGCCTCATTGTCCCTTCTGTAACAGGGGGTGCTGAGGACTGGAGAGGTAAGGTGAGAAAGGGACCAAAGGGGAGGTGCAGATATGGCTCAGGGTGAGGGGCTCCCAGTCTGGCCTCCTCCACAAGGTCAAGGAGCTGGGACTCCACCCTCCCCATCTCTCCTAAGCAGTGCAGACAATGAATGTGGCCAGATACTCATAAAAAAAGGTTGGTTGTTTGAGCTTACTCTCAAAGACCAAGGAAGAAAGGCCTGGCAAGCTTCCAAATAGCTAGACATTGAAAATCCTGTGGAGCACCATTCAGACAGGTTGCATTAACAAGGAGTGGGGGTTAATGCTAGGTCATATTATTTAGGGGACACATTTCAACCCCAGATGTCCCTGAGATGGGGAGTGTGGTAGAAGTAGGTGGTAAGGTGGGGGGACAGAATCAGAATGAGGCAACAGAGGCAAGTCGAGGCAAGGTGTGCAATGGTTACTGAAACCCCAACCTGCCCTGCCTCCTGAAGGAGCTCACACCATCCCGCGGTCCCTCCTGCAGGGAAGCAAGGAGCGGTTCCACTGGCAGAGCCACAACGTGAAGCAGAGTGGCGTGGACGACATGGTGCTACTGCCTCAGATCACCGAGGACGCCATCGTGAACAATCTGCGCAAGCGCTTCATGGACGACTACATCTTCGCATCCTTAACAGCGAGCAGGCGGGGGTGGAGGAAAGAGGAAGGGGAGGACACTGATCAGTGGGTGGAGGGCTGAGCTATGGAAGAATGGCTTGTAGATGGATGCAGGGATGACGTGTGGAGGGATGGAGGGATGATGCGTGGATGGATAAGGGATGACCTGTGGGTTGATGGAAGATGATACGTGGGAATGGATGGAGGATGACCAGTGGATGCAGGGATGATGTGTGGGTGGGTGGGTGGATGGATGATGTGGGAGGGATGATCTGTGCATGGAGGGATGGCATGAAGGTGTATGGATGGAGGTGCTGGGGACACTGGGAGACAAATTCTACCTGGCCCTTAACTACCCCAGACCTACATCGGCTCTGTGCTCATTTCCGTGAATCCCTTCAAGCAGATGCCCTACTTCACTGATCGTGAGATCGACCTCTACCAGGGCGCGGTGAGGCCCCGGCTGGGTAGGGGGCACAGGGCCAGAACCCCTGGCCCCCAACCCTGGGCTGAGTCCTGACCTCCCCCACCAGGCCCAGTATGAGAACCCACCACACATCTATGCCCTCACAGACAACATGTATCGGAACATGCTTATCGACTGTGAGAACCAGTGTGTCATCATCAGGTACCGGGGACCCTCCTGGCCAGGCCCCCCTCCCCAGGGAAGTCTGCCCAGAACTCCTCTATCCATGCGAAGTTTTGCCTTGCTCCTCACTGGAGGCTTCCCATCTCATTCCCTTCCCTGGTTCTGGATCTGAACAGAGCGTTGCCTTTCCTCTCTGCCCTGTCCCTCTTTAACTGTCCTTGTCACCACCTTGTCAAATGGGACTACTCATAGTAATAGCATCAGAGCCTGTCTAACTTCAGGGGAGACCATGAGAATCACCATCTGTCCAAAGCTGATTCTCAGGAGGTAGAGGTCAAACATAGCTCCAGCCTTTCCACCAATTTTGACAGCACTATCTCTTCTATGTTGTTGTTGTTTAGTGCTCTCAAGTTGATTCTGACCCATAGCGACCCTGTATAGGGTTTCCAAGGAGCAGCTGGTGAGCTTGAACTGCTGACTTGCAGTTGAAATGACTTTGCAGTCTGGCACATTAACCCACAGCACCACACCAGGACTCCCATCTCTCCTATTTTGTTGTTGTTGTGAGGTGCCATCAAGTCGGAAC